CCCATGAATTCCATCATGATCGCGCCATTGTTTTCGTCCATCATTAGACCGGGCACTTTCTTATTTATAAGCGATATGCCATACGCGTTGTCAACCGGATAATCGCTCGTGTCGAATCTGTGTATATCGCGTTTCACAGTCTCATATACATTCTCGCACTTGACGTGGTATATGAGACTGTCGGTATCAGTATACATGATTCTACACTTGTCACTGTACAGGGGCAGCATGTATTCATGGTGAAATTCATACAAGCAGATCTTGGATATGTCCAGGATGCACATACCCACGTAGATTGGCTTGTTGAATTTCACTTCGATTTTTCGCAATTCTACGGCGATTAAATTTTCTGAAAAGATGCTGCGACTATGAAAATTTGGTTTCGCCTCCGCACCGTAACGACCATCCCACTTTGTTAGAAGTTTAACGTCGACATGATTCCGTACATTTTCCATTGTTTTGCCAAATACCGCGTTGTTCATTAATTTGTATAAATTTTTTTCGAAATCGTTTGTCGCACGTGTTCTAAACTGACAATGAGTATTAAGCTCGATGTAATCGCGGAGCCATGGATATTGCGAAAACTCCAATACACGGTGTATCTTTGTCACGCGAAGCCCATGACACGTGCACTGTTGCAGGTTGCGATAGTGTATGACGGAACGCTTCTTATCATACACTGTCGCGAGAAGTTTATCCTGCCGCTTACCGGGTGGCTTATCGCGCGTCGGACAGAACGGTAGGTCAATGTGCGCGTCGTGAAGATGCTGTGGATACTCGAGATCGACCTCGAGAATGTAACCTGTCGATGAGTCCGCAGCGATTGCGCTAAAGTCGAAATTCGTAATATCTTCGATCCATCGAAAATTTGCATATGGTAGTGGTTGACACATCGCCCAACCATACAAATTATTGACATCAAAGTACATCAGGTACGAGGATGGTTTCGATGGATCGTAAGACTGCATCCCTTAAGAAAAAGAACTGAGCAGGTGCACCAGCAACTGATGAAGTTGAATCAGTAACTTGTGACCTTCTATCAGTAACTGATTACGAGAATCAGTTACTGGTAATGCTTTTCAGTTGACTTCCAGTTTTAATAATCAGTTTCTACAATACACTAAAAAACTGGTTAGACACTGAGTGTTGCTATCAGTAACTGATGACTGGTCCTCAGTTTTTTTTAACGGTTTGTCAGATACTGATTATGTTCTTCAGTTGACACCCAGTTTTAATAATCAGTTTCTACATTACTCTAAAAACTGGTTAGACACTGAATGTTGCCATCAGTAACTGATGACTGGTCCTCAGTTTTTTTAACGGTTTGTCAGATACTGATTATGTTCTTCAGTTGACACCCAGTTTTAATAATCAGTTTCTACATTACTCTAAAAACTGGTTAGACACTGAGTGTTGCCATCAGTATCTGATGACTGGTCCTCAGATTTTTTAACGTTTTGTCAGGTAACTGTTATGTTCTTTCAGTTGAACCCCAGTTTTTATAATCAGTTTCTACATTAATCTAAAAAACTAGTTAGACACTAAGTGTTGCTATCAGTAACTGATGGCTAGTCCTTAGTTTTTTAATGGTTTCTTAGATACTGATTACCTATGTTCTCCAATTGATATCCAGTTTTTGAGTATTATATAGTTTCTTAATAGGTA